AATCAATGTAATTTTTTTTCCACCTAACTTTATTGCTATCACATAGCAGGAAACAATCCCCTGTGTGATAGCAATTGGAGGTGACAGGTTCTCTTTATTGACCCTGCCACCTACAATACAGGAGTTCTAGCACAACACTGTGGGGGAACTCCTGTGACAGGTGAGGGGGGAAGAGCACAGCACGGCACAGCGCAGCACAGCGCAGCACAGCACAGCTCTCCCCCTCTCACTGTGTACAGTCTACACGGAGCGGCAGGGTTACTTTTAACCCGGCCGCTCACTGCAGTGAGAGACTCGGCGTCGGAGCCCGGAGGACGGAACCAAAGGAGAGAGGTGAGTGCAGGGGGGAGGGGGAGGAGGCTGCACACTGTTTACATGTGATCTCGGCGACATCGCCGATTTCACATGTAAAGGAAAAATCGTCTGCCTCACTCTACATTTAGCTCGGCTTGTACAAAGCAGGACTGAATGTAGAGAGGGCAACTTCCACACAAGGACACCGCTGCCGCCCCTCTGCGCCCTGCCGCCCCGAGGCCGGGCCTCGGTGGCCTTGTGGGGGAACCGGGCCTGTATCTTAGACCAGGTGAGATTGAGTGGTATAGGTATCACATATATCATAGGATAGATCATGTATGTTTATTGTGAACCTTCTGCATTTGTTGGATGATGACCTTTTTCATCTCTTGGTTTCTCAAGCTGTAGATAAGAGGATTCAGCATTGGAGTGACCACCGCGTAGAAGACAGAGGCCACCTTGTCTTGCTTCTTAAGTGTGATGCCAGATGAAGGTAAGTAAGTGAGATAAATCGTTGCATAGAAGATGGACGCACACATGAGATGGGAGGAGCAGGTGCTAAAAGCTTTTCTCCTGCCAGCCGCTGAGCTTATCCGTAAGATGGAAGAGATGATGAGGGCGTAGGAGACCAGGATGATTGTCATTGAACTTAAGCTGAAAAGACACATAAAGAAAAGGGTGACGATGTTGCAGGTGCGGGTGTCGGAACAGGACAACCTGACCAGTGGAGGGATGTCGCAGTAGAAGTGGTCTATGAGGTTGGAGTCACAATACTCAAGACTGAACAGACTGCTGGTCTGTGCGACTGAGTGCAGAAATCCACTGGAGAAGGTAAAAAGGACAAGATAGAGACATTTCTTCTTAGTCATTGTTAAGACATAATGGAGAGGGCGGCAGATCGCGACATATCGGTCATACGCCATGATGGACAGGACAAGGACCTCCGTCCCTATCATTGCAGCAAAGAAGTAGAACTGGAAGGCGCAAGCCATGAAAGTGATTAGTTTCTTCTCAGACAGGAGGTCGGACAACATTTCAGGAGCAATGATTGAAGAGTAGCAGATGTCCACCATAGAGAGGTAGCTCAAGAAGTAGTACATGGGAGTGTGGAGGCTGGGCGAGATGTAAACCATGGACATAATCCCAACATTTCCACATATAGTAACCATGTAAACCAGTGAAAAGAACATGAAGAGGAATGGGGCAAGTTCCTTATCATCAGATAGACCAGAAAACCTAAACACGGTCACTAGAGTCTTGTTTTTTAGATTCATCTGTTCTTTCGCTCTGTAACGATAGAAATAAACATCTCCTTCACTTTTTCTAATAGTATACATGAAGATTACACAAGTTTTCTATGGTTACACTCGTAAAAAGATGTCCCGGAGGAGAATTATGTTATCGAAACCAAGAAAGAAACATCTGTAGGTATAAAGTGTAGGCCTGCGATAGCCTCTAAAACTCTCCTGCCAAGGCCAAACCCGGGCCCGCTCTGACAAAGACAGTTATGCTTGAATGAGAGGAATGAGAGGATGACCAGCAACATGGTGGATGGATAGAGTCACAGAAAGTATGAACATACACTGCAATGGCCTGAGACCCAAACAGAAGACAGATCATTCTGGAGACACACGATCCATGTGAGCCCCGGGAGTTACATAGTTACATAGTATTAGAGGTTGAATAAAGACACAGGTCCATCAAGTTCAGCCTCTGTGTGTCTGTGTGTGATTGTGCATGTGTGTGTGTACGAGTCCCTGTGCCTTAGCTTTAGGTGTACCCGTACCCCTGAATGTTACGGTCTCTGTGGAAGGCAAATAAATGCTTTTCGAATGATTCAATACTCTCTACAGATACCACTGCTTGTGGCAACGAGTTCCAAAAATGTAACCGCTGTGACTGAAAAGAATCCCCTACGCCCCTTGTGGTTAAATCTTTTCTCCACCAGTTTTAGGTGGTGGCCTCTAGTCCTTGTTAGGGAGTTTACTGTAAAAAAAATTAGTCAAGGCAACTGGACTCGCTGTATTTTTCTTGAAGACGTTTCGCTGGTCATCCAACCGTCTTCCTCAATTCAGAATGACTTGTAGAAAAATTATCTGGGAATAGATATGGTGAATGTCGCTCCAATCCACATCATCTGTTAATCACACCCAGGTGTTGTTAATTGCATAATTGGAGCTAGGAGGTGTTATTAACCTGCCCAGAGAGAGGAGTTTAAACAGCATTGTATGTAGCAGACAATAGATGTCTCACCCCC